TGTGTGTGTGTGTGTGTGTGTGTGTGTGTGTGTGTGTGTGTGTGTGTGTGTGTGTGTGTGTGTGTGTGTGCTTGCCCAGACTGGGATAAGCATTGCCATTAAGCCCATCACTATGGGGCATTTGGGGCCCTTCATTGGACAATTCAGCGGCAGCATCATCAAATGCACTATCAAGCAAATTAGCACATTACGTTTGACCACATGTGTGTCATCTACTTAAAATAACTTATGACACAAATGTTGGCTGTCACTTCAATTAATTCAGCCCCTCCCTCTCCTTCAATCTCTCTCTCTCCTTCAATCTCCCTCTCTCTCTCTCTCTCCCTTAGAGCATCAGTTATTCAACACTAAACTCTGCCGGCTTCCCGGTCGGAAGTAGGAGCCGAATTACTCGAGCGAGTCGCTAAGGATCTAGAATATGGCGATGTACACAGACATAAATACACAAACACACGTACAGTATGGCTTTTCATTTCTCTCCCTCCCTCCTTCTTGTTCACACATACAGTTGCAGGCCAGGGTCCCTCCTCCTGAGCAACAGTGGATGAAGAGTGAGAAAGAATAAACAATGGGGCACTCGGAGGTCTGGAGGTATCGATGAATGGATCCAGCTAAACTGTTATCAGTGCAAACACAAACACACAGATAGACCAACAGATAGGACAGCAGTGGCACAGCGAGAGGGAGAGAGAGAGAGAGAGAGAGAGAGAAACAGGCAGGGATGTGGAAGCGAGAATGACAGAGAGGAAAAATGTGTTGCGTGTGAGTAAGAAAGAAAGAAATAAAGAGGGGTAATCACACTTGTGATGCAAAGAGAACGAGGGAAGCAGGATGGGAGACAGAAGGCATCTGGAATAGCAGAGAAGATAACAGCTGATGCAGGAGGAAGAGAAAAAAACTGAAATATAGAAAGACACAGAGGGCAGAGGGGACAGTACAGCACCAGAAACAAATGGACAGATGGAGAGTGATGGACAGGCAGGAAAAAAAAAAAGAGAGAGAGAGAGAATGAGAGTTTCCAAATTGTAGCTATAAGTGTAAGTCAACTTATGTGACTCCTACTGCAGAGACGGACACATAAAACTCTGTCGATTCATGACTAAAACTCTGTGTACGGAAAAATGCAGAAATATGCATCCACATTAAGTTGGCAGACTTGTATAGCTTCATGAATCTGTTGTATGAATCTCAATCATCGTGGAATTTCCACACCCACAGATAGATTTAACACATAAAGTGCTGTAGAAATGCCTTAAACATCTGTTTGCGTATCAATACATGTGCCTGCTCCACTACTCATTAAGCTCATCAATAAGAAGAACGGCAAAGAATTGCAATGTCACCGATTGTGTCACATTGGTGAGGTTCTCCAGTAGCACCTAAACAGCTGTTATTACGCACGCACATTTTATGGCTCCTATACCACTAATTCATATTGAAACTTAACAAAGTGCTTCACAATTTACGATAACATTACATCATTCACAGGTAAATATTGGTTTAAACGTAAATAAAAAGAATGCTAAAAAACCTTCACTCATAAACACCTAAACAAAAAGTTTATAAATGCGCCTTTGATTGACATTTTGCAGAACGCTGTGTAGATTGCATGAATAGCAACACAGTGAGTGAAATTGGCAAATAGGTTATGCCACATTCTCACCACACAAACCTCTTTTTAAAAAACAATACAACCTAATGTCATCATACAGTGTCTTCTGTGTGTGTTTATGCTTACTAGTCCTGCTGTCTTGATCTCACATTGTCCACAGCGTGTTCCCTTCAGACGGTTTTTTCTTCTCTCTCTAGGTGGAGGAGGGGGAGGAGGCGGGGCTAAAAAGAGCAGTTATACTGTTGTTAGTGCTTGGCAATGGGATTCATTTCATATCTTTGTGGAGTCGTGTAACTGACTTCTTGCCCAGTCCAACAATATTGTGGAGACGTATAGAGACGGTGTCAAAAATACAGTACAGTACACACAGCAGAATTTCGCCACAATCACTGCTGTGTTAGCATGCTTATACAACTGGTTTGAATCTGCAGCCACTTTTGCAAAAATGCATAATTTAGACAGTCCTTAAAAAGTTTACTTCAACACGTGTCAGCTCATTTTGAAACATTCCTTTTAAAAGGTGTGATTTTTGTGCCTCAGGCATGTTGGAAACATTAAAATTTGGCCCAGGTTGGCTCCTGGTTGCACGGATCAATCTTTAACAAGAGAACTCCACAGTCTGCCCCCCGTGATGCCGAGTATCCACCTCACTGAAGTAACCGTGAGCAAGACACTGAACCTCTACCAGCTCCCAGGGCTCGGCTCTGTCAGCTGCTCCTGAATGCCAAACCTCCACGTGGAGAGTAGAATTCCAGTACAGGGTAGTGTATCAATGCTGTGTGCTGTGGCTGTAAAGGACTCACCTGTCAGTGGTTCATCCTTCAGCACTCGGATCTTCACCTTGCCTGCTGACAGCTGTGGGGGGGGGGGGGGGGGTAAGTATGTTTCTATATACATGTGAGCCACTCTGTGTTCACGTTTGCACTTTCACATCACTCCATTTTTTTATGTTAAAAACTTGCTACCATAAGGGTTTTTAAATATATAACGTGTTAATCCATTCTTTACTTCAACTATTATTGTGTTTCATTCTCTTACGCTCAAGAAGTGTAAACTTTAGAAAAGGAGTTACTTGGTCTAGTGTTCTCTCCTGAGATATCGGGCACAAGATTAAATTAAAAAACAAATTAAGGGCAATCTGAAGTCTGCCATGCACAGTGCACTCAAGGAGTGGTTGGACTTATTTTCATGGATGCAGGCACATGGTGCACCCACAGCAAATTTGGAAAGAGGAATTAGAATATTCTACAGTGCAGGTAACCCTTAAGGTCACAACCCACAAGACAAAGCTCCTCACAATTTAAAGAATCCAGTAAACACACACACACACACACACACACCATACACACGTCCTTAGAAGTATAGTTAGATGTTCTCCTGTACCTTTTGGAGTATGTCCTCCTTGTTCTTCTTTACGCCGCTTGTTAGAGCGTTGCTGTTTAAAGAACCACGCTGCCCAGACTTCCATCTGAACCCTCCCGAATGCCTAAACAGACAGAAAGACAAAAGCAGAGAGAGTTTGTCTTTGGCAATCGTAAACAAGCAATCTTGAATTACAACCCCTTTGAATTTGAAACGCATAGCTCAATTACAGTATCATAGCTACCAGTTTTAATTGCTATCACGTTTCAGTTACATCTGTCAATGTCCTTAATTTGATTTGTTTCTGCCTCTTTTTGTTCATCAAGACATATTTTCCATATCCAAGAAATGTAACTTTGATATTCATTCTACATTAGAAGATCTGGGTATGGCAGCATAATCATGAGAATCCTTGATTAACATCAAGATAATACACAGGCACAGACAGCCACATCAAAACACACAGAGAAGATGTTTTTTAATAATTATTCTAGGAGACTATTCTCATTATATTTGAGGGCTGTTAACAAAGCTGGCACCTTGCCATTCCTGTATTACCGATAGCGTGAAAGTGAAGCAGGATAGATTTAGCAAAACTCAGGATTAAAGTTTTTTTAATCCACTGAAGTACCTAAGTACACTGAAGCACTTTAATAACAGGCTTTAAGTAGAGGAGAAGGCACTGATGTCAAGTATAAAATGTGAAAAAGGTGCAACATCACCTTATAACTAAATCCCTAAATCCATGAAAATTAGATAAATAAATACATTTAGAAAATCCCTTTGTTCCATTAAGTAGAAAAAGAGTGTTTAATGTATCGCAACATTGTCCCTGTGTTGTTAGGAGTAGTTGGAACAGCCAGGAAAAGCACTTTGCCACTTTACATGCACACAAGAATTTGGTCATACCAACATAAACGATGCACATATACAACGTCACATGAGTCTAAACCTGAACATCAGTCCAAGACCAAAAGGATGTTTTCTGTCATGTTGCAGACAATTAGAACCTCGACCACAAAAAGCAGAACATGAAAGGTGATAGGAACTATATGTACTCTCACACACACACACACACACACACACAGGCATAGACGCAGATACAAGAACATAAATACATACAGTATATACACACTCTCATGCAGGACACTCCTGTTTCAGAGAGTGAAGAAACGGAGAGGGATCCTCATTTAGACTAGAGTTATTCATGCTCATGTTGTTGAATTATTTATGCTATTTATGCTATTGTGATGTCTGGCTGTCTTTGAGAGAAGTTTATTCAGGATTGAGCTGGCAGCCTGTCAAGGCACAGGAAGTCAGAATCTATTTGTGTGTGTGAGGGTGTGTGTCTCTCTGCATATGTGTGTGTGTGTGTGTGTGTGTGTGTGTGTGTGTGTGTGTGTGTGT